AAAAACATAGTTATAAATTCAAATAAGGTGTTTAATAAAATAATATGTCGAACATTCAGTTCGCATCATAATAACTTGCGCTATATACAGACTGTCTCTTATACACATCTAGATGTGTATAAGAGACAGATATAGGCCCTATGTATATGTAACGCATTTAACAAACCAAAAAGTGTCAACTTTATTACTCTTGGTCTTTGGGTTCCAATTGACAAACATGCTCGAGTTACGCTGCAGTGCATTGCACCGCATTAAGCACCAGACCAATGCTTTGACCCCTTAAGGCCAACTCAGACAGCGTCGGTCGACGCAGCCCGACCCGATTTATCGTCGGAGACAGTCTTAAGCCGTCGTGAGAAATATTAAACATGTTTAATATTCTACGACGCGACTGACCCCGACGCACACCATCGCGTCTGCGTTTAACTCACACAGACCCGACACGACAACAATTTGCGTCGGGCTGCGTCGTACGACGCTGTCTGAGTTGGCCTTTACGAGAGACCAATAATGCACAAAGGTCATATATAGCCATTTTTTACTTAGCTATTACACATTTTATGTTTTTGTTATCTGATGCAATTCTGTATTGTCAGTGAAATGCAGGTACATCACGGCACCTATGATCTGTGTAATATTATCGCATTTAAATGTTAAGCAATCTTGATGAATATCATTCAATCATTCAACACGAGAATTTCATTGTGCTACTTCTGACTAACAAGGTGCGCCTACTTATTTTCTCCACGTACAACTGTAGGTACCATTTGGGGTCTACTGCCCGGGTTCCGGGCGGAAGCAACAACTGCCGAAAGTCTCCGAACAATTCAAATTAAGAAGCGAGCTTTCGTTACCACAATACTCGCTATTTACTTACTTTGACGTAAGTACGTTTTGTGTTCTATAGAATATTTTGATAGCAGTAAATAATCAATTTTGTAGAATAGAGCAGGCTGGGGAGTAAATGGATCGATGAATGTGTCGCTTGTTTAGTGGATAGTCGGGATTGGACCCCATTTGTCCAAGAAGACTGTGTCATTGCTTTTGCAGTTCTGGGCACATCGCCAAACACATCAGTGAAATAGTTACAAATTTTCATTTGAAAAACACCCCTTCCGCAAGTCAAGACACCAATAATATCTAGTGATAGGCCTATACTTCGAATTATCAAATGATCTTAGTAGTTGGAATGAAAATCGTTCATCCTGTATCTCTTTAATATTAAATACATAAATTTACATTACATTTGTGCCTACATTAACGATATGAACTAAAGTCACTGCTACTCAAATAATTTATTTAGTTTTCATTTAGCGCGAGTAAGCAAGAGCCGCATGTTCTCCAGTCGTCTATAATCTCTGAGGAAGCATTTCGGCCCTGCCACATAATATCCATGCACATCTAGGCCTAAATTAATTAATATCATAGGCCTACTAAGAGTTAAGTATTATTTAACTCTGAAAGACAAGGTAGATAAAGTCTGCCAAAGTGGTTGAGTTAGCCTCAGACTTCGCAATCATGGCCTATGTCGAACTCTATGCCATTGTAATATTGAGCCTATTTTATGTACCGTATTGCAGGAGTGGTACGACTATAGTATGAACCTAACACGCATTGACTACACGTCACTCGGCGATTCGTTTGACTACGGAGTAATGACGAAAACGACGAGAATTGATGATTTCAACACAGGTTTTATATACAATTTTTCTTTCAAACACCTGCCATCTTAGTTCACTTATTGTTAGTAATGTACAGAGGGTGGATTTATTTTTAAAAACAGGGGAGGAAGAGGGGTATCACCACGGTTTGTTGTAGAGTGGTGTGACTGTTGGCCATTCTGGTCTTACGCAAACTTATGTTCAAAACATTGTTCGATTTAATTTTAGTGTGTCGTTATCTTTTGTGACAGGGGTTATGTACGTCATTAATGCGGCTGATGGAAACTGTTCGATCCAGTCTATTCCAACAACAGATACTTTTGGTAGGCCTGTAGGACAAGGAGGGAGTATTCGAATTGCCACAGCCGCCGAATTGTTCTACATCAGTGATGAATATTTTTATAAAGGAGTTGTAAATATCATTAATTATGTTTAAATTGCCATGCTGTTATAATCGTGCATATATATAGGCCTATATATGTATGTATATATATACATATATATATCCAATTACGTGAATAATGAACTTTTTTTTATCATTCTTAAACATAGTTTCCATTCAGAGATGTTGACTGTAATGTCTATACCGATTTTCGTCAAGACCTAGGCAACACTACATTTGATTGGTTGATCTCATCGGTAAGTACATTTTTAATGAAGAAATTTTAAATATCAAACTCAGTTTCTAGTATGTGTTAAGATAATTGGAATTTCATCATTGAAAAATGTATAGCAGTAGCAATACCGCTAAATCTATTATAGAAACCCTGGGTCACTATTCTTTGGTTGTTGGCGTTGGTTACACTAAAATTAGAGTACTGGCTCACTATTATTGAGCATAAATATAAGCATTGAGAAAATGAGTTGAAAAACTGTTATAAGATGTGAGAATTTAAATTTGTCAAGAGTTCTACCTCAGTATTGAATGTCATTAATGTTTCTGTGATTCATTGTGCTCCAATTAGGACGGTTGGACAGCTACTGAAGAAGGCAATGCGGGAATGACGAATATACCCATTGGACTATCAGTCGTCACCACAGAAGTAAGAAGGCCTAAGGCCGAAACTAATAATAAGAAAACACAAATAATGTAGAACTTACTTAATGTATGATTACAGAAATCTAAGTGCTTAGGATTTTCTTAAGAATAATATAAACACCCTCCTCCTTACCGTCACAGAGTTCGACTAACCTTTGATTTTCTATGGCGGGAACGATATGATATTCATTTTTTTCACTTGTGTTGAATAAATACAAAATGTACTAACGTTGTGAATTGTTCATTGTCTATACCTAGATAGGAAAGATATGATCCATCCTCTAATGTTGACAATGAACTACAGGTGCAGATTCTTTGACGTCTCAAGCAATCTTCTTTTTATAATATTAAGCGAATTATATAAATAGCTATATTTATATGATATTGAAGGAAGTTAGCCGTTAACACTGTTGAATAAATATAATATAAATCATCAAAGGTACATATACAGTGTTTAATAAGGACATGATGGAACATCGTAGGCTACACTGTCGCTTTTCAACGAATACGTATGGCCCTCTTGAGGCATAGCATTGTGTAATACAATGTTCCCGACGGGTATTTGGACCTGTTCAACCATGAATCCTTCGTGGTCTTGTGGTTATGACACTCGCCTTGTCAGCGAGAGGTCGCAGGTTCGAATCCCGTCGGAGGCATTTTATTACACAATGATTTTTCATAGGACTTTATTCGTTGAAAAGCTACAGGGTAGCCTACGATGTCCCATTATGTCCTTATTAAACACTGTATATGGTTTTTTTTCAATTGCGTATTTACACTCGAGAATAAACCAAGGTATATAATAGATAAGTCCTATCTAGTATAGTATAAGCCACTGTTACTCTGAACACTGTAGTGGTCGTAACGTAAGATGAAAATGTGTGTTTTGAAGTTAAAAAATGATTCTGAAAGTTTTTGAGAATGGCAGTAAAATATTCTTACAATTAACGAAAAAGAAATAATAATTATTGTTTATCATTATCATTTTTCTCAAAGAAAAGTATGAGAGCGTATCATCGAATCTACAAGAATTCATATCGCTCACGCAACTCACAATTGCACAAGCAGCAAAGATTTCACCAATCAGAGTCCAGGATTTGCAGGTTTGTAGGTCTTACGCAGTAGAACCAGTGTTATTATTACTACAGTTCGCCCTCCAATTCGAGACGACTTTGGTTCATTGTAAAAGTGGTCTCGAATTAGAGGGAATAAGAGGGGTATGGTATCGGATTGGAAGGTGCACTGCAATAATAATATTATCTTTATAAAAGTGTATAATAATATTATTTTTATAAAAGTTTTCAAAAATGTTCTCAAGTTGCTGTGTATAATTATTAGGTTGATTATGACACTACAAGAGTGTATGTAGAATTTACTATGATAAATCGAGCACCGGAGGGCGCTGTGTCGAATCCAGTTTCCGAGACAACCTTAGAAGATGCTATAGAAAATCTTCGTACAGTCATAGACAATGGAGCATTTTACGTAAGTAATAGTCAAAACCATACGTTACAAAGTTTAGAATGTGTATTATTAGTAAACTGATGTGTGTTATTTGTGTTTCTTGCCGATAATGACGATTGGAGTACATCAATAACAATACTTGTTAGATTTTTAATGGAAATTGCTGACAAATTACTGTTCCGTTTTGTTTCTATTTTTCAATTTTGAAGGTCTTGCAGTTCCAAGCTGAGCCGAACAGCCTACGTGATGATGTTTCATTGCCGGATCATATCGATTTCAAAGGTTAGTTAAGACATCATCCTTAATATTACGTCATAGAGATATATCGTCTGCTAATAAACTTCAAACATAATAATTAAAGACACGTAACCGTTTCTTTATTTTTACATACAGTACAATTACGCATTAAAAAGTATGGTAATCGCAGTAAACTGTATAATAATAGTGAAAACGGGATCATTTTAATTTGCTTCTCAATAGAAGTTGGCTTAGGCCTACATGAAGTTCACCGCAGGAAGTATTTAGTTTAGAATTAAATTATTAAAATTAATATCATCACATAGTAGTACAAGCCTACCTTTTATTCAATGCTCCATCTGTAGAGCTTTATTCATTTTATAGTCTTGCTGGCCTAGTCAGTAATTTACCCATTGAATATGTATAAATGATAGACCTATGTTGTTTTTAAGATTTAATTTACATCCAAAAGTTACAGGATGGAACGACGCTTTTATAAATTAATTCGCATATACGTAAAGTCTCTTTACGATGCTTAGAAAGTGGAGTTGCTATTAGTCGAGAGAAAACAAATCAGCCCCGGTAAGCCTAAAAAAGGAGACTTAGTTTATTAAATTATGTTTTATATCAACCCAGGCGATAAGACCGTGTGCGAGCCAGAGGTACCTTATAACTCGATGCCGATGCCACTTTTTCCTCCTAACTTTCAAATGAAAATTGAAGGCAAAGTTCAAGAAGGGACGAAATTCAAATTCGAAGCCGAGGAGTATTTTGATGGACGGAATCGCACGGCCGCAATAAAGTATACCGAAGAGGGCGTAACTCAACGTGTTATAATTGACATGAAATACAAGTATTTATATAGAATTCAAGGTGGGTAAAATTTTGCTTTTAATACATTCTAGGAAATATATGTACATTTTTCTTTTCGAGGAATTACCAATAAAATAAATTATTACTGTATTAATGTAATTAATGATCAAACACAATAAATGCAATTTTTATATTAAATATTGAAATACACTTATTCTTTGACTTTTGTTTTCATGTCTGACATTATATTTTTAATCATTTTTTCATCTGCGTTTTGTATTATATAAATTTTTTTGCGTATGTTGTCTTTAAATGTATTATTTTATTAAGTCTGTTATTTCTTGTATTTTAGTTAAAATAATAGCGACTTTATTATCATATCTTAACAATTAATTATGATGTCCTATTGTAATATTATTGTTATTATTATTGATATAAAAACAGGGAGCATTTGTTCGATTGTAAATTATGACAGTCCTGATAAGGTCGCCGGAATATTCCCACTGAGCTCATTGAATCAGTTACGACAAGGAAATGAGATATACTTTGGCGAGCAGACGATCCGTGGAATACCGGTGAACCACTGGCAGTCCTGCATCTACTGGCCCAAGCTTTCCGCCACATTCACTGTCGATTGGTACTTCGCCAAGCCAGAGTATCTGAGTGCATCTACCTGGACACAAGCGCTCGTACGCACGCGCGTTCGTGGTAAAGCAATCAACTTAGATGAACCATCCGGGCCTACCAGAGATTTTGAACACATTTATGACTACTTCGCATTTAGGTCCGACATATATTCAGACGGCGACAGCCCATTTTTGGTAAAAGTTATATCCATTAACTAATTCAGTAATGATAAACGAAAGAACGATTCATATTTCGGAGTTTCTTTAGAATTACTGTAATTTCTATCTGGCACTTGGAATATTATTAAAATTATCCATCTAAAATCTCATCAATTATTACCCTGTTGCTGTTGCCTACACTATTGCCTACACTATTTTCCATGCGCATTTTCGGTCTTCTTCTTTGTCTTTTTTCATCACCTCTTCCTTACAAAAAACTTTTAAAACATTTAAAAAAAATAAATAATAGCACTCTAATTGTCTGTCGCTCTTTCATCACGCCCAATCAAAAATCTTTCTGCGAACCCATCTTAATCCCACAGCATATTTTATGTGACTTTATGTTATTATATTTATTTCCAAAAAAAAAAAAATACATTCGGAAAAGTAGAAAATAATATATTATTTTCCATCCAGATTCCACCAGGAACAGTGTGTACTGGCGATACTTTTTACAACTCTCTGGAAGTTCCCATGGTCCCTCCGTATTTTGTTTTCAAAGGCGAAGAAATCGTACCGAATGCAAAATATAAATTTGATTTTGACGTGAGTAATTTGTTTTACTATATAACTAATGTGACGATGTGTTGGAAAGCGCAAGCTTCATTAATGGAGTTATCATAGCTTAGTGGTTAAGGTGCTTGCCTTCAAATGTCATTGTCCTGGGTGCTAAGTGACAGGAGATTTCCTCCGACCTCAACTACACTTCCAAAATCCCATTGTAAAACTATTTAGAGCATTATGTGTATATGTTTGTTTGTAAGCCTGTTGTGATTTTGACATGAAAGTGTTTAAGTTCTTTTAAAGTAATAACTTCTGTTCTATTACTATTGTTCACTATAATTTAAAAGTTTATCAAAAGTCATTTGTATATTTAATTTGATTTTTAGAAATGAATAAACATTACTTTAGTTTGATAAGAATAATCACAGATTATGTGACTTCTTTGCATTTGCCTTGTATTATTCAAATAAAAATCTAATTATAGTCATAAACAGAAATGGCATTGTACTGGAATATCAATCAGTTGAGCTATGAATACATTGTTTTTATTGGTTCATGCAAAATAGTTATATTTTTTATATAGGAATACTACGATGATGAATACCAACTGATCCGCACAGATGTGAAGTCCACTCTCAAATACAATGGCTACGATGGTCCGGTGCCAACTTCATACATCGATGACTACAATACAGGTACACATGGCAACACGAAACAAATTTTGCAGCAACAGAAATTCCGTTACTGATACGTCTGTATTGCAACTCAGTGTCGTTGTGATTGAATAAAATATAGAATAATGATAATATACATAATAACAACAATTCTCAATATCTTCTACCTAAAGTGTCAACTAAAGCTAAACATAATAAGGATACAATTATTATATGATGTAGCTATATCAAACCATTAATTAACCATCAAACCATAAATTAATTTCCTTCTCAAAATAGTTATTATTCATATAAATCATATAATTAATCCTCATAATATCTAATAATTTTATAAATGAATTGTGTAGTTAAAATGCCACTCATTCTATATTGTAGATAAGATTGAGTGAAAATAAAATTTGATTGATTGATTGAAATGCCTATACATTTTAAAAATGTATTGAGTTATGGCACAATATTGTTTAAACATTATATCTGAATTACATATTTGACTTGATCATACTGATTATGTAATCATTATTATATTTTTTTATTTTAAAGGGGTTTCCCACATAATTGACTTGTATCATGGAAACTGTACGATTCAGATGATTTCGGGCAACTCACCTTCGCCAATGATGCGTACGGGATCCGCAATATTCTTCCGCAAAGAAAACCTGACGTTTACATATCGAGGACAGGTAATTTATATTAGAATTATGATTATAAAAATTATTAGGTGGCGGCGGCGGCGGCGGAGGCGGCGGCGGCGGCGGCGGAGGCGGCGGCGGCTGCTGCTGTTGCTGCTGCTGTTGCTTCTACTGCTGCTGTTGCTGCTGCTATTGCTGCTGCTGCTGCTGCTGCTACTACTACTACTACTACTGCTGCTGCTGTTGCTGCTACTGCTGTTACTGCTGCTGCTGCTAGGCTTACCGTATTGATATAGGGCCATTTCAGTAAGCTCTGAAGCATGTATGAGATTTTCTTTTATGATTTTCCACCAATTTTGACATTTTCAAGAAAGAACTGAAAACGTTACTCTATCTGGAAGTATTCTCATCAGATTTAATTTCCCAAAGCCCCACTCTAGTAATAGATGCAAGCGATATATATAATTGCTTTTTATTATTATTATAATTTATCATCATCATCACCATCATCATCATCATCATATTACTTAGGCCTATTATTATTATTATTATTATTATTATTATTATTATTATTATTAAAAAATAAAATAAAATAAATGCTTTTTTTTGGGTTCTCTACAGTATCCCCATCGTGAAATAATGGCCAACGTATGGTCAACGCAGGTTACTTATAATGAGGGAACAACCAAAGAAAGTTCGTGGATTGTCGAAGTGTACTACACACCTGTAAGTATTTCGCAAACTATGAGATGAGACCATTAACAAATAAAATAAATACGTTGTTGCCCAAATATAAACCTCAGTCAAATAAATTACTGCACTGCCGGTTCATTTGCTGGTTCGTTATAATGCAGATTCATATCTAGTTCCAGTATTTTCTTCATTTCAACCACAGCTTCAATGGCTAAGTTTTATAAAGGAAGAAAATTAAATAACTTATATATATTCACTTCTCGATTTACAGTATCAAATAATTTATAATCTTAAGTTTGTTCACTCTTTTTCTCGAACCAGCTGTTTTCATACAGTGTTTAATGTTTTAACACGATTTTGGGATCCCTTCTGAAGTTCGGGACATTCTGCCAACTAATTTAAATTTGTTTCTTAATCATTTTAAATCTAATTTACGAAGTCTGACTCCCGACGTTTAATTTGTATATATACTGTCTCTTATACACATCTAGATGTGTATGTTTATTAAGCTTGTTTTATGAGAGAAAATAAATGAAAGGTTTTGATTCGATTTGTGATTCATTGAAATCAACTTCCAATGAATCACAAATCGAATCAAAACCTTTTCGGTTATTTAAGACCTTATAAAGTAAGTGACGCAAATAAGATAGCTCTCTGTATATCTTAGTGTCTTTTTACATGATGTAACCACACAGATTGTTTACTGTCGGTGATTTACTTGTCTATTTTTTAGGAAAGTTTACAACTTGTGCATATTGATGGAAGCGTGTCGGCGCAACAAATACCGATTCACGTGGAAGCTAGAAATCAGGTAATGTTTGCTAATAGAAAATCCGTTTCATGGTGGTGGTGGTGGCGGTGGTAGTAGTAGTGTGCAAAAATAGTGATCGGTTTATTTATTATTCTAATGTGTATATAAATAATTTTGAATTAGAATGTAAAAGATGAACAACTGCTCCTAATCAACGCTTACGATTTTCGTACAAACCATCCACGAAGCGGTGCCTTTGATGTCAGTCAGTGTTATCATAAGTCAAACAACAAGCGCTTCCAGGTCACAATGGCATGTAAGTTGCATAAAAAAGTTCTCGTAATCTCGAAAAATCCAATGAGGGCAGTACAAGAAAAGTAGTAGAGTATATTGTCCGTAACGGCCGCCCATACAAAAAAAGATTAATCAATCAGCAGAGTGTTTCTAGAGCTCCTCATCAGAGCTAAAAATACTAACTCATGAAATTCAATTTATTTGTATTCGTAATGCTGCATAACTTCATTATGAGAAAAGGTGATGCATTCAGAATTTAGGAAATTCTATCAGCGCGTCATAAACAACTTGTGGTAAAATACTTTCATGTTGCAAATCGTGATTAAATTACATCCCATTCCAAAACTCACAAAAATTATCATAGTTTAGATTTTTAAAATACACTACCCTATAATCAATAAACATAATGTTGTTTGTGAAATCTTTATTAGCAAATTACTGGGCCACAATTCAGACGTACGAAGAATGGTTTAAGTCTGCAGCTCTCGTCACAATCGCTAAACATTCTGGTATTTCTCCAGTTCGCATTCATGCGGTGACGGTAAAATATCGTTTGTTTACTTATAATTTTATGACGATTATCAATATTAATTATGATATATTATTATTCTATCTATTCTATATTTTATTAAGTTGTTGCCATTGTCGTTTTTTTGTTCTTGTTTTTTTTTTAGATGAATCTATCTGAATCTCCAAACAAAGTGATACTGTTCTTTACAATGCTGGTCAAATCAAACCTTGTCGAGGAGTTAAGTATTGACGAGGCTATCAATTCGATGGGAACTTTCGTAGATAGTGGGTCTTTCGTTATCAGAATGAGTATCAACGGAGACACTACTCAAGTGAAAGGAATGGAAGACAAGGGAGAATCAGTAAGAACCCACATTTCAAACAAATCACACCCGATCTTCCTGTGGACCACCCATCCCATTACATTTGCTATAGTAATAACTGAATTAAGGTCATATATTTATACCTTCTTTCATGGACGGCGTAGCTAAGAAGCATATACTTCTCGGAAAATGTGCAACCTACAGATGGATTAAAAATCCTTAATTTTGGACATGATTATTGATAATTTGCTAGAAGGACTCTCGTTAATCAGTACTAAGTCAAATGTGGCCCAACCTTCCCAATACGCAGTTATCTGTCTTATCCTATTTTTATTTCCATTAAAAATCCTTCTAGGTATATCTATTTTTGGTCGACCCAAATAGTCTTCAATCTTTTTCGGTCCAATCAGAAACCGCCGCCGATGGTTATAGTGTCGGTAAGTGACAGTGTTGTAATGAATTTTGTAAAACTAGTAATTATGTATTCCTTAATAATTTAGCCTATGAACAGTAATTCATTATAAATGTTCGGTTTATACAGTATAACATTTCTGGACAATTTTATCAATTTCTTGGTGGTTGAAAATAATTTGAGCATTGAAGATGATTTTGTAAAAATTGTACGTCGTGAAATACTATTTTTTGTTTATTATTATTTGAAGGGGCAGTTGTCGGTGTTGCAATTGGAACTTTTCTATTCAGCATCTCCTTAACTGTCATAATCATGCTTTATGTCAGCAAGAAGAAAGGCGACAAACGTACACCAGGCGGATTACCTGCTCAAGAGGTAACTGCAGATTACTAAACGTAAATGGTGGATCGAGATAGAAGCAGAAAATGCAAAATTATCCCCAGCATTTCTCCAATTCCCTCCTCCCATTTGACTGTCACAAATTGTCGTTCCACCACGCTCTGTGTGTAGTGTGTATGTTGCTCTTTGTTTTCAATGGGTCTATGGTACGAGTTTTGTAATACTGAATCAGCCATGTCGACGTAGGTCTAACTTTAAAATATTTGAGAACTACAGTTGTAAATCTATTGAATTCATTATTTTCTTACAGTTTATACATGAACTAGTTTACCTTGGTATATTGTAGCTAAAGTTCTTATGAATCGGATTAAATTTTAATATGTATAATTGTTGATGTTTTTATTTATCATTTTTCATATACTATTACATATTTCGTCGATAAAAACATAAATAATACAATGACAAACATGAGAACAAGATAGAAATAAAAGCTCTAAAAAGTTGTAAAGTCATTAAAACTCGAATGGATTACAAAAAAGCAAAATAAATGCTGTCGGGGGCTCTCTCTGTCGAATCTTGGTCGAATCTGACTTATGAAATTAAATTAAAACTAAAATTCAAGAATTAAATATTTTGTTTAAAAATGTAGTAAAATTAAAGCCTTAAAACGTGGTTATATATTCATTCATTTATTTATCTATTTATTTATTACAAATTCGACAATAATGATGAATTAATGATTTATTGATTGATTTTTATTACCAGAAAGCTCATTTTTGATTGTCTAGAAGGCAATGGTCCCTAATTTTGTGCCAACCATCCATTTCTAACAGTCGAAGTATTGAAGTATTGCAATCGAGTATTCAACAAAAGCGAACGCTTTCGTACAAATAATATATAAAACTGTATAAGGTGTACCCGCGCGGCAATGAAGTTTATTCAGAACATTTATAAGACAGTGATTGGTTGAAACTCATTTAAGGTTACCAAACTGCATTGTCTAGTTCAACCTTCATAGAGCCAATGACAATAAAATATTCAGCAATCTAGGTAAAATAATATGTGGTGATGTTCAGTGAAAAGTAACACTAACAGCTTAAGAACTGGTACCATGTCAACAACAGATTCTTGATAATGAGCAGTTATTAACATGACAAAAATGTCTTGAAAATACGAAAATGATTTGATAAAATTATCAGATATCTGATCAGGTCCACACGAAGTTCGTAATTTGCCCATGGACCTATATATATGCTGTCTCTTATACACATCTAGATGTGTATAAGAGACAGTAAATATACTGTACTGTATTTTAATGAACGTATTTCTATGTAAATATTATGCAATTCAGCTTCAGCTGCCATTTTTTGATCTAGCATCAATATATATTTTAATTGAAAAGCTCAAGGTAAAACCAATTAATGCTGATCCACAAGCAGCACCAGCCATCACTCCTAAAACAAAAATGATAAAAGTATATTTAAAAAGTCTTAAAGAACAATGAAAAGTGAATTGGTAATGGTATTGGTAATTATATTGGTGGTGGTGATGATCAGCAACGACGACGACGATGATGCTAATGATAATGATGATTATTATAATAGTGATGATGATGGTGGTGGTGACGTGGTTTAATGATGATGATTACGATTATGATGATTATGAAAACTAATAATACTGTAGAGATACTGATTGATTATGATAAATTATATAGAGGTTCAATACCTACCGGGTGAATATGTTAAATCGGTCATTGGAATGTTTGGGTCAATTATTTCTTCTGACAGGGTCTTTGGCAGCGCAAAAATATCAATACCACCCTAGTTTGAAAAGTAAAATTACAATTGTAACAATATTAATTTTAAGATTTATACAGCGGTTCATTGTGGAAAATCCATAATGCGGTTTACATTAATCTTGAAGAGCACAACATCAACTAACAGCACATTATAGAACAATCATATACAAGTAATCACTGGCGAGATTTGGTTCACACTCGAGCAATATGTACACGTGCGTATTATGCGCGTAATACGATCGGTTTGCACATGGTTCACCCTAGAGCAAAATTTTGACGCAAACGCAGCAACGCTACTAGGCGCGTAATGCGCTTGGTTCACACATGGTTCACACTAGAGCAATAGACGCGTTGACGCAAACGCAGCAATGCTATTCGGCTTGTATTGACGCAATGCAGTAGGGCTACTAAGCTGATAAGCGTTACTTGCATTTGTCTCAACGCGTCTAAATTGCTCTAGTATGAACCATTTAATGGCGAAGTAAAGAGAAACATAGACACGTGAATAAATACAAATACAGTAAATACATAATTACCTCTTCAGACGTCATAGTGAATTTCAAATAACCAATATTTATCGCGGTTTCAATATTTGTGAAGGCTTCTGAAAGACCTGGTTCATTCACTGGATTCGCTACATCACCCTGTATGTCAGGCGTATCAAGTAGAGTGAAAGCTACCCAGACTCGACTTGCATAGCGGACCTAAAAGAAATGTGGATGGTATTGATATAGCAAGGTAATTAAGTATTTCAAATGCTCTATCTATGTTACTAGTGATTTATTTATTTTTTTTAATGGCTGTGTTGCCCACGCACAATTATATTCAAAATTATTTCTTCTGTTTTCTTTTTATTATAGACCCAAGTCCAATTATGTTCATTGCCAACTGCTACTCTCACACTGCATGTTGTTTGTAAGCCAACGGATAAATTCATGATTAAGGTAACTAGTTTATTATTTAAGGCTCAAAAGGTGTTTTTTGAGATTATTGGTCGTCTGGGTTTAAACAACTACTATTTTGACCTAATTATGGAAGTATACTATATTATTTTATATTACATTACATTACATTACATTACATTACATTACATTATATTATATTATATTATATTATATTATGTTATATTATATTATATATAATGTTTAATATGTATATATACATAATTCATATATATACATATTATTTTACAATACTTAGTCACTGCCCAAGAATCGCAATAGCGGGATCCCCAATGCTGTCGGACTTGCGGGTATCTGGAATTAGGCCTATATAATATATGATATAAATTATGATATATATAACTTGAAATATATGTATATTTATATTATATATATGCAATTCAGCTTCAGCTGCCATTTTTTGATCTAGCATCAATATATATTTTAATTGAAAAGCTCAAGGTAAAACCAATTAATGCTGATCCACAAGCAGCTCCAGCCATCACTCCTAAAACAAAAATGATAAAAGTATATTTAAAAAGTCTTAAAGAACAATGAAAAGTGAATTGGTAATGGTAATTGTAATTATATTGGTGGTGATGATGATGACAGCAACGACGACGACGATGATGCTAATGATAATGATGATTATTATAATGGTGATGGTGATGGTGGTGGTGACGTGGTCTAATGATGATGATTACGATTATGATGATTATGAAAACTAATAATACTGTAGAGATACTGATTGATTATGATAAATTATATAGAGGTTCAATACCTACCGGGTGAATATGTTAAATCGGTCATTGGAATGTTTGGGTCAATGATTTCTTCTGACAGTGTCTTTGGCAGCGCAAAAATATCAATACCACCCTAGTTTGAAAAGTAAAATTACAATTGTAGCAATATTAATTTTAAGATTTATACAGCGGTTCATTGTGGAAAATCCATAATGCGGTTTACATTAATCTTGAAGAGTACAACATCAACTAGCAGCACAATCATATACGGTACAAGTCATCACTGGCGAGATTTGGTTCACACTCGAGCAATATGTACACGTGCGCATTATGCGCGTAATACGATCGGTTTGCACATGGTTCACGCTAGAGCAAAATTTTGACGCAAACGCAGCAACGCTACTAGGCGCGTAATGCGCTTGGTTCACACTAGAGCAATAGACGCGTTGACGCAAACGCAGCAATGCTATTCGGCTTGTATTGACGCAATGCAGTAGGCCTACTAAGCTGATAAGCGTTACTTGCATTTGTCTCAACGCGTCTAAATTGCTCTAGTGTGAACCATTTAATGGCAAAGTAAAGAGAAACATAGACACGTGACTAAATACAAATACAGTAAATACATAATTACCTCTTCAGACGTCATAGTGAATTTCAAATAACCAATATTTATCGCGGTTTCAATATTTGTGAAGGCTTCTGAAAGACCTGGTTCATTCACTGGATTCGCTACATCACCCTGTATGTCAGGCGTATCAAGTAGAGTGAAAGCTACCCAGACTCGACTTGCATAGCGGACCTAAAAGAAATGTGGATGGTATTGATATAGCAAGGTAATTAACTATTTCAAATGCTCTATCTATGTTACTAGTGATTTTTTTTTTAATGGCTGTGTTGCCCACGCACAATTATATTCAAAATTATTTCTTCTGTTTTCTTTTTACTATAGACCCAAGTCCAATTATGTTCATTGCCAACTGCTACTCTCACACTGCATGTTG